GCTTGGCTCTAACCGACGTTCCATTTAATGTTGTGTTTAAGAGGGCATAAAAGTGTCTCCGTTCAATTACATGCATATGCATGCTTGTCTTGTTCAGTAAATTTGTCTAAATAAGACTCTTCATAAGGATACTCTTCTACTCCAGTTTTATATCCAGACATCATGGTTTTATGGGATCCACAAATGGCATTAAATTATGCTCTTTCACAAGGTTTTAGTGTTCTCAATATAGTATTGTGGCCTTCTTCTACTGCCGCATGAACTTCCAGTATTGAGCAGAGAATTTATCAGATTAGATAAATTAGATGTAGCGTCTTTTCAGATATGATAGTTAATGAGCTTTTTTTAAAGTGTACGTAATTTCATGTAGATCGTTGGTTAGATAGCATATACTCTTTGATTTCTTTGTGGTAATTTTTTTTTTGGGTAAATGGCACTTGAGCATACTCGTGTATAATAATACCCCCTCCTATGAGTAAGCGAGAGACTTTTGGGATCTCTACTCATGGTATATAAACACAAGAAATAAAATAAAATAAAAATGATTAAGCAAAATTGGGATTCCCAAGACTTCAAAATCATTCCGTTTCCTCAAATTTACTTTTACTTACTTTTAATTGCTTTTGTTATTACACTCGGTGTATATTCTTAATTAAAAAATCCATCAATTTGTATGTGTTTGACTTTCGAATTGAGCAACCTTTTATTTCATTTTATTACAAATAACAAATAAATCAATCCTCTTGGGATTTGATACTCTACCGTATACTTGCGTGAGAGTCAAATAGGTAGCAATATTTGCCCCATACAATCAGCTTTTGATCAAGTTAAATGGTACAATTATATGAAGAACTCTATTAAAAAAATGAAAACAACAGTTAAAGTTGTATGGTTTCTTTTGATCGAATGGAATTCTAAAAGTACCATGAGAAAACAATTGGCTACATGGATTTCGACGCGCAGATCATCGTTTTAATTCTAATGGGTTGCATATATAAAATGTAATACATAGTTCAAAGTAGTGCTAAATTTATTCAAGCTAGTCTTTATTTATTGAGTCAAAAACAGCT